CAGGCCGTAGACTGATCGACGCAGCTGCCACTGGGTCCCAGGTGGGAAAGAGCCAGTGAAGCCAGGCGGGCGACGCAGCCAGATCTGCTCGTGCAGGCTCCCCTGAAGGAACGCGGTGGAAAATCCAGGGAGTGCAACTCGTAGTCGCGCTGGGCTGAAATGTGCAGCAACACCCGAAGAGTACTCATCTTCGGGGTGGGAGCGAAGGTCTGGAAGAAGTCCACCCCCTCTCGCTGACTGAAGCCTCTCGCCACATAGCGCGCCTTGAACACTGGTGGTGATCCAGGCGGCCGCTTCACCTTGTAGAGCCATCGGCCACTGACGACGTTCGTCCCAGGTGGTGGGACTGCGTCGACGTAAGTGCCTGTGGACCTATAAGATGACATCTCTGCCTCCTCAGCTGCTATCCAGTACGAGGCCCAAGGTCCCGAGACCGCCTCAGCGTGAGTGCGAGGGATCGGAATGTCAAGAGCGTCTGGATCCCCCTCAGGGGCAAGCAGCATGGCGCAGAGATGAGGAACAGCGGCCGCAAGGAAACCAAGCTCAAACTGCCTGTCCTCCAGGACCTCCAAGGGAAAGATAGGAGCACCCCCAGAGGACGGAGAACGAGCAGCGCCACTCACCAGGTGAGCAGCGTAGTCAAGGCGGTGGGAAGAGGCAAAGTCAGCGACAGTGGTAACAAGTGCTGAGACAGACGACAAGGGTGCAGTCGGGTGAGTGACCAACGCGGACAAAACACGGGAGACGACAGGACGGGAGGCACGAAGGTAGTCGGACAACGGGTCGTGAAGCACAGTGAGGGACGACTCAGGGGGCTGTGGAAGGACGGGAGGAGGTGGAACACGAGAGCGAAGAACGAGGTGGAACGGACCGTCTGCACGGTAACGGGACCGACGACGCTCTGGGGACACAGCACGACTGAGGGGAGACCGACGAGTCCACTGGGACGAGGAAAGGGACTCAACAGGGGGAACAGGAGGGGACGGTAGGGGACCACGAACAAAGCGTGCAGGTGATGGGTCGGGGAGGTCGCGTAGTCGTAGTCGCTGCTGCTCCGCCTCCTCTGGCGTCTGCTGCGACGGTACCGGCCCCTGCTGCTGCTCCTGTGGCTCCGCCTCTGCCCTCTCCTGCTGCGACTGCAGCTGCACCCGCTGCTGGGACCGGGACTCCTCCTCTACTCTCTCCTGCTGGGTCTGTAACTGCACCTGCTGCTGCGGGTGGGACTCCTGCTCTACTCTCTCCTGTTGGGTCTGTAACTGCACCTGCTGCTGCGGGTGGGACTCCTGCTCTACCCTCTCCTGGTGCGGCGGTGACTGCTCCTCTACTCGCTCCTGGCGGGTCTGTAACTGCACCTGCTGCTGCGGGTGGGACTCCTACTCTACCCTCTCCTGGTGCGGTCGTGACTCCTCCTCTACCCTCTCCTGCTGCGGCTGTGACTCCTCCTCTACTCTCTCGTGCTGCTGCTGCTGCTGCTGCTGCTGCTGTGCCCTCTCAAACCGCGCACGCTCCTCCCTCTCCAACTGGAAGAGACGCTGCTCACGGGTCAGGAAACGTACAGTGCGCGGTGTAGGCGCCACAGTGCCAGTGCCTCCAGCTCCAGCACCCCAAGAACCAACACCTCCACCGTCGACACCCCCGGAGCCTCCAGTGCCTCCCGCAGTAGCACCCCCGGGCTCCGCAGAAACCGGCCGCAGAGAAGAACGAGGAGGGAACTGCGGGACGGACGGGAAGCCAGGGGGTGACGCGGGGCGAGGCCGCCGGCTCGAGGCTGCCGTGTCCTCCACGGGAGTGACCTCCACACCCACAACCCCTGCACCCCCAGAGCCGACACCACCAGCTCCTGCAGCCCCAGTACCCTCACCCTCCGCAACTGCACCTCCCGCACCCTCAGACACGACACGGACTGGACGCTGCGGGGGGGACGACTGCGGAGTGACGTGCGACACACCTGACGGGGCAGGACGCGAAGGGGGGGGGGCTACCGGGGCGACTGGGGGGGGCTCAAGGGTGAGGAACAGCGGGGGGGAAAAGGCCTCAGTACCTCGGTGGGGGCGACTCCTGTAGTAACAGACAGACTCGTCGAACGTGACGTCCTGAGAAGCGAAGAACTGGTAGGTGGCCGGGTCGTAGAACAACCAGCCGGAGGCGTCCAAAGAGAAACCAAGAAAGACGCAGGCACGGGTGCGCGGAGACAACTTGTTCGCGCCAGGGGCGCGAACGTGAGCCAGAGAGCCCCAGACACGGAAGTCAGCTGCTACGCCCGGAGAACCTGTCCAAAGGGAGACCGGCGTCACCCGTGGCCGTGCGTCACTAGGCCACAGGTTCAGCTGGTGCGCGGCGTAGCGGACTGCCTGGGGCCACAAGAACTGGGGGGCACCGGCATGGCACATGGAGGTCCGGGCAACCTCCATGACCAGGCCGATGCGACGCTCGGCTACCCCATTCTGCTGCGGCGAGGCTGGTAACGTGTAAGACTGGATGATCCCCCGACCCTGACAGAACGTCTCCAGTCGAGTGGAAGAGAACTCACCACCACGATCCGAGTGTAGACGGAGCCCACACAGGCCCTGGGCGCCACCCCTCGCTAGTAGCCACGGCTCGAGGACGGTAGGCACGTCGGCCTTCCGTCGCAAAGGGAAAACCGTGGTGTAGCGGGAGTAGTCGTCCACCACAATCAGGAAGTAGCGCTCCTGACGTGGGCCAAGGACCGGGGAGGGGCCCCAGACGTCCAAGTGCAGGGTCTGGAAGGGAGACGTGGTGGGGGGGAACGAGGAGTGAGGGGCAGCGCGCTGCCGACCCTCGACGCAAGGAGTGCACGGCGGCGCTGGAGAGCGGGGAAGCGGGGCAAGCGACGCTGGGAGACCTGAGACCAGACGGTGACGTGCCATCCTACTGAGACGTGGGAACGACGGGTGACCTAGACGGTGGTGCCAGAGGACCGACGGGTGGGTGAGGGACCGACAGTCACACGACACAGCGGCTACCTGACCTGACCTGACCAGACCTGACCCAGTGTGGTGGGACCCGGTGTGTAGTGAGTACAGACCAGAGCCCGGCTCCCTGCGAAAGGTGGCCAGAGGGGCCCCAGTGGTACCGACTGTGCAGGAGGCAACTGACTCCTCTAAGGGAAAAGTGGTGACTACTCCGAGGTCGTGGAGGTGGCTGACACCCACCAGGTTCCTAGAGAACGAGGGGGTGTAGTAACCTGTAAGGACCCCAGAGGGAGCAGCCGGACACGGGAGAGGGGTGGTGCTGCGAGCAACCACAGGTCCCACAGAGGGGTCGGCCAAGGCAACAGTGACGGGAGTGCGTAGTGGTGTGAGGTCGGCGCGGTCACGAAAGAAACAGCTGGACGCCCCAGAGTCGAGTGTGAACGACAGGGACGCAGTCTCGGTGGTCGAACCTGGGCAAGCTACGCTAGCAGGGAAAGCACTAGCAACCTCTACAGCACCTAAGCTAGAGAAACAGGAATAGTACGCAAAATCATCAACAATAGAGTCATCGGCATACATCACAGACATAGAACGCACAGCCTCATCTAACTGAGGTGCAGTCATGCTATACAACTGCGGGCCAACAGAACGAGCCAGTGAGGCCCAATCGGGGACAGTGCGGGTGGGGCCAAACTGCGCACGGTAGCGGTCAGTGAGCTGTGCAAAGCACTGACCCGGGGGGTGGAAGCGGCCACAAGGGTAGCCTCCACGCGGCCCAGTCAGCACCCTATACTGGCAGGGGGGGTGCTGGGCTGGACCACGCGACGTCCAGCTGGGCGGGCCGCTGCTGCTGACAGAGCTCCCGGGTCCAGGGGACCTCCACTGCTGCTGCGGCGTCTGCTGGCGCTGGCCCTGGAACTGCTGCTGCCGCTGCTGCTGTGGCTGCGGCTGCTGCGGCTGCTGCTGGTGAGGCTGCTGCCGCTGGGGGGCCCCACTACCTCCACCTCCACTGCCTCCTCCTCCGCCTACTCCACCACTCCCACCCCCTCCACCTCCACCACCACCCCCTACGCCACCTCCACCACCGCCCCCTCCGCCACCCCCACCACCGCCCCCTCCGCCACCCCCACCACTGCCACCACCTCCTCCCTTCTTACCCCCCTTCTTGCCCCCTTTGTTGCCAAGGGCAACGGCTGCCACCTCTGGTACAGTGGCAACAGACGCCGAGTCGACAGGGGAAGCTAGGAAGGACGGAGAACATCCCTCAAAGATGGGGGGGAGGGCAGTACCGGAGGCAGCAGCAAGGGAACGGGCAAGGTCCTCAACAGCATTGAGCCTCTTCTCAAAGAGGTCAATGGTGAGGGACATGGGGTTAACAGTGAGAAAGTGGTCACGGGCTGTAGCAAAACGGTCAGGGAGGCGGGTGGACAGCAGGTACAGTGTCATCCACATCGGGGGGGGGGTTGACGGCAAGTAGGGCATCATCAGGGGCAGCAGAACGGAGCTGGGCATCAAGCGAGCGCAAGTGCAGCACAAGGTCAGGGACGCGGTGAAACGAGGGCAGGTCAGGAAATAGGAAGGGCAGTACAAGCCGACCGAGGGAAGCAGTGGTTGGGGTGGAATAACGTTTGACGACAGCATCAAACAGGCCCTTGGCCGTCACCTCCTGCTCGAAGTGCTGCTGCTCTGTCAGGGGCAGGAGATCGGTGATGGCGAGCACTGTGGCGTCGTCCCGCGCCGCCCACCGACTGGCCGCCAGCTGCAGCTTCTCAAAGCGAGCTTCCTCTTCGTCCGACGGGGAGGAACCTAAGGGGTCGGGTTCCTTCGGGGCTACGAGTTTGCCCGTGGCATGGTCCAGAAGGCGAACGTCGTTCTCGATCCTACTCCCTAGGAAAAGCTTGAGTTTGCGGAGCCATCCTGGGAAGTCTACCGGCCTACCCTCAGGATCAAACGTGAGAATACGAGAAGTGGCCATGGGAGGAGGCCCTGGCGCGAGGGCAATGAACGGGCACGCTCGGGTGGGGTCTAGTACGTTTGAGAGCGGTACCAGGTGGTTCAGTGAGGTGGATGGCGGCTGGTTACTGGTGTGGTGACGGGAACGGGTGGGGCAGCAGCTCTGGCTGGTACAGGTGGGGCAGTGGGTGCAGTTCTGTGCGGTTCTACCCAGTTTTGCGCGGTTCTGCACGGTTCAGTGCGGTGCTGCACGGTTCTGTGCTAGGTGAGTACCGGGTGGGGCAGCAGCTCTGGCTGGTACAGGTGGGGCAGCGGGTGCATTTCTGTGCGGTGCTGCGTGGTTCTGTGCAGTTCTGCCCTGTTCAGTGCGGTGCTGCACGGTTCTGTGCGAGGGAGAGTACCGGGTGGGGTAGCAGCTCTGGCTGGTGTGGGTGGGTCAGCAGGTAAGGTTCTGGGCGGCGCCGCACGATTCTGTGCTGTTCTGCGCAGTTCTGTGCGGTTCTGCCCGGTTCTGCGCGGTTCTGCACGGTTCAGTGCGGTTCTGCCCGGTTCTGCGCGGTTCTGCACGGTTCAGTGCGGTGCTGCGCGGTTCTGTGCGGGGGAGAGTACGGGGTGGGGTAGCAGCTCTGGCTGGTGCGGATGGGTCAGCAGGTAAGGTTCTGGGCGGTGTCGCACGGTTCTGTGCGTTTCTACGCGGTGCTGTACGGTTCTGGGCGGGGGAGAGTAACTGGTGGGGCGGCTGGGACGGGTGGTACAGCGGGCACCAGGTGGGTCAGCGGGGACGGGTGAGACGGTACCGCAGCTGGCGGGCTGTGCGTGCGTGCGGCTATTGCTGCGCGTGCGTGCAGCTATGGCCGCGCGTGCATGCTGCTAATGCCGCGCGTGCGTGCTCCTAATGCCGCGCGTGCGTACGGCTAATGCTGCACGTGTGTGCGGCTAATGCTGCGCGTGCGCGCGGTCGCATGTGCGGCTACGACTGCACGTGCGCATGGGCCTGCTGCGCGCTAGCGGGCTGGCTAGCTATGCACGGGGCAGAAAACGGGTGAGGCGCGGGTGAAATGGATGACGCGCTCAGGGCACTACGGGTGACGCGCGAGCTAAGGGGGGGTAGCAGGGCGCTTCGGGTATTGAGTGGCTACGTTCCTAGGTCGGGGCACGGGGCGGTGGGCCCATAGGGTCGACTAGCTCTATACCATGTCGAGACTAGAACGGGTGAAAAGATTGACTAAGGGAAACGAGATATAAGAGGATATAGCTAACCCTAGGAATATGAAATGGTACACCTAGACTAACATAAACTAAACATATAAAATATATGTTGACAAGCGGGGCGCGCGCTGGCGCTGGGCAGCGACGCACGCGCGGGCGCTGGCCAGCGGGGCACGCGCTGGCGCTGGGCAGCAGGGCGCACGCTAGCGCTGGGCAGCGGGGCACGCGCTGGCGCTGGGCAACGGGGCACGAGCGGACTAAGGGCAGTGGGGCGCGCGCTGGCGCTGGGCAGCAGGGCACGTGCTGGCGCTGGGCAGCTGGGCGCGCGCGGGCGCTGAGCAGCGGGGTGCGCGCTGGTGCTGGGCAGCGGGGCAAGCGCGGGCGCTGGGCAGCGGGGCACGCGCTGGCGCTGGGCAGCGGGACTGTTAGAGACTAAGGACGGAGTCTATGAAGATTAGGTGCCTAAATTTCTCAAAATCGTTGGTCCCTATTTCTGGACAGAATAGTTGCGCTCACAAGAAACGCCGTCGACGAAAAGTGCACTGTCAAAACTTGACCAAACTCAAATATGTTGTAGCCCTACTCCGTGGCTACAATTCCCAAGTTGAAACGTATCAAGAGGTGAAGTAAATCTCGACTTATCAATTTCGGCGCACAGGGGGGTATGCTGCCATAAGAACTTAACTCAATCACAAAGTTCACACAAGTTCACACAAGAGAATTAGAGTAGCACTAAACCAGGTGGAAGGGATGAGGAGGACGAGAGGGAAGGTCCCAAGAGAGTCCCCAACCAAGGAAACCCCATGCCATACAATTCCCTTCCCCATAGGCAACCCAACTTTGACCTTTGTCACTATCCCAACCTCCACAATCCACCTCAACCCAACTTGGCCACACTTGCCAACCTGGTTTGGTTTCTCCCAACCATTTGGCAGCAACTACAGTAGAAAAGACGAATTTCCCAACCCCCAAAAGTCTGTACCCCATATTGAGTCAACCCCACAACTTCCCATAGTCACCACAACCAAATATCAAAAGCATACGAACTCCAACGTTCGTAACTTTCTTGTTCGTGCTCCGATTGAAGCGATACTTGGTTCGTCGGAAAGCTCTTGAGCAGAGGAGTCACTTCAGATATCTGCTCAAGCCAAATAACATTCACACACACTCAGAAAAACCAAACCGCACAAAACACAAATTCTTGCACACACTCACAACACGCATGCAACGCACGAACATATGATGGGAGGCAGACAGACGTGAATGCAAATGGTAGCATCACTCAACACGGACGCGCGTTGACGCTTGGCAATGGGGCAGCAGGGCGCGTACGGGCGCTGGGCAGCGGGGCACGCTGGCACACTGGGCAGCAGGGCGCGCGCTGGCGCTGGGCAGCGGGGCGCGCGCGGGCACGGGGCAGCGGGGCACGCGCGGGCGCTGGGCAGCGGGGCGCGCCCTGGCGCTGGGCAGCGGGGCGTGTGGGGCACGTGGGCAGCAGGGTGTGCGGGGCACGCAGGGCAGGACAGCGCGATAGCGCTGGGCAGGGCAGGGCACGCGCGCGGCGAGCAGGGCGGCGCGGGCAGCAGCGCAGCACGCACGGCAGTAGGGCAACATGCGGCGGGGCAGGGCAGGGCAGGGCATGGAACGAGCGCGGCGAGCAGGGCAGTGCGCGACGGCAGCAGCTCCTGTGGCAGGAGTGACGGTGGGCCCTAAAGAAAAGAACGGTCCTAGGTCAGGACCTGCTCTGAAACCATGTCAAAGTCAGTACAACGAAACGAGTTCACTAGCAGGCATGGGGAGTACAAAAGGGGAAACCCTAGAAGGGTTGTACTCTCTAATGAGAACCCCATTACAGCCTACACAACAATATATGCATTTTTACACTTGGTTCGGTACCTGTCCGAGAAGTGGGTTGCCGGCTTCCTGAAGAAAGTATATGGGACTTATTACACTTCGTAAATTGCTGCTTTAACCATGTTGTTCACTCGTGTAACTTTTCCCTGGCTTGTGTAACCTACCTTTGGTTGTTCAAAATTTGGGTACGGCTTTGGCGAGCTGACCCAATCTACAGGCAACGTGGCTATAGGGAACACAGCTCAAGCATATACCCGCCAGTCCTTACATCGGTATATCGTGTGACGAGAGAACTGATTGCTGCAGAGGTTAACACATACACTTCGCCACGTTCATCCACGACTCACGGCTCCAAGTTCATCGCAATGTTGACGGTCAAGAAGGTGGATGTAGCGTCGTTGTTGGGGTTGCTGTTGTCCCACTTGCAGTCGGTTGGCGTGGACCTTCAACGCATCGCGGGCATCAACACAGACGGAGCTTATGTGATGATGGGTCCGAAGTCGTCCTTGGTGGCACAGCTGCATCTTCGGCTTGTCATCGCAGTTATCGCTTTTGGTAGAGTATTATTTTGTTTTATGGTGACTTGTTAAATGTTTTCTAATATACTATGTTCTTTCGTGTGGTGGCAGTGAGGCCCTTGCTGCTAAGGATGCAGCAAAGAGCCTGCTTGTCTTCAACATGATCGATAGAACCATGTGTGCTATCGCGGAGCATCTGGGCCGATCTGGTCCATCGCATCAGCGCTTCATGGACCTTGCGTGCACAACATCAAATAATGGGGTGTGGTTACTTGAAATAAGTTTCACCCACTGCACTCATTAACCCCCCTTTTTTTATACGATGACGCCGACTCCAGCGGCTACTACGGGGACGATACCAGTTACGACAAATACTGCGGCAACGGCTGCAATGAGGGAGAAGGGGGGGGGGGGAAGGTTGGCAAAGGGGCTGACAAAAGAAGCGCAACCCGACACACCGGGCCTTGAGAGTCAGCAGACTCCTCTATATGCCAAACCGAGGGAAGAGAGGTGACGTGCGACACACCTGACGGTGCAAGGGAGCTAGCGGAGGACTGGGACCCGGGGGCGAGGGGTTTGAGTGAGGAAGAGGGGAGGGGGAGGAAACTGTCAAACATTATATATGTTGTGTTAGTTTAGGCTACAGTGGGTTAGCCTATAGGGGGTACACAATTCTAGGGTTAGGTACTTGTACTCTTTTCATTGCTAGTTCATTCATTCCTGTTCAGTGATTCCAACATGGTATAGAGCAGGTCCTTCCTAGGACCGAAATTTTCTAAGGGCCCACCACTACGTAACTACCTACCTACCTACCTACCCGTGCCCTAGGGCGCCTCGGCGTGTCACGCCCCTAGAGGCCCCTCTTGAGGCCCCGGGCGGCCCGTTCCCGCCGCAGCACAAGAGGGAGAGCGGGCGGCCCGTCCCCGCCGTGACCTGAGTCGAGCTGCGCGCCCCGAGCCGAGCCGCGCCACCCAGCAGAGCCGCGACCCGACCTGAACCGAGCCGCGCCGCCCTGCCCTACCTGGTTCGTCCTACCTGCTTCTCCTACCGCTACTGCTGCTATTTCTACTGTTCCTATGGCTAGCCCACAGGTTCTCGTGTTCGATGCTGAGGGCCGCCCTGTGAAGTTTGACACCTGGCTCGATGACCTGCACCTCTACCTACAGCTCACAGCCAAGGATGACATCTCACTGTACGATCACGCCCTAGGCCTTGTCACTGCCCCTGCTGCTACTGCTGACAGCACTGCTCGCTCACAGTGGCAGACTCGTGATGCCCACGCTCGCTTCGCCATTCGCAACTCCCTGCCGATAGACGAACGCGAGCACTTTGGTCAGCACAAGACTGCACCGGCACTGTACACAGCTGTAGTTGCTCGCTACTCCTCACCTGCCTCTGCCGCACTAGGCCGTCTCTCCCTCCCCTACCTGTTTCCCGACCTGGCCTCCTTTCACACAGTCGCTGACCTCATCACGCACCTCCGTACTAGTGAGGCCCGCTTCCGTGCCGCCATGCCTGCTGAGTTCCTTGCCACGCACCCCCCTCCACTCTGGCTCACTCTCTATCACCTAGTCACCCGCCTCCCTGACACACTGCGTGCTGTCAGGGACCACTTCCTAGCTCGTTGCCCCACTGAGCTCACCATTGCCCTCCTCGAGAAGGAGCTACTTGCAGCTGAGGCTAGCATAGTCGCTGTAGGTGCCTCTCGTGGCGACCCCCGTACCCCGTTCTTTGAGGGGTGTTCTCCTTCCCCCCTTCTTCCCTCTGTCGCCTCTGCTGCTGCTGTCGACCTTCTTGGTACTGAGAAGGTCGGCACTGCGTCTGCCTCGAGCGGACGCCGCAGCGGCAAGGGCAAAGGGGGCAAGGGTAGTGGCGGTGACGGCGGGGGAGGCGGCGGTGGGGGCGGTGGAGGCAGTGGGGGTGGTGGCTCGGCTGGAGGGGCGAGTGGTAGCGGTGGGGGTGGTGGCGGCAGCGGCGGGGGAGGTGGCAGGAGTGGAGGCGGCGGTTGGGGTGGCGGTGGACGAGGCGGCGACAGGGGTTGGGGTGGTCGAGGAGGTGGCAGCGGTGGTGGTGGCCGTGGAGGCGCTGGCGGTGGCCAGGGCCAGCAGCACACTCTCTCGCCCCAGGAGGTCCGTGAGTGGTACTCTCAGCACGGGGGTGGGGGTGGTCTTAGCTGCACGTACGTCATTCGCACTGGTGACCGCACTGGTCAGCAGTGTGGACGACCGCACGCCACACAGCGCTGCTTCTCTCGTCTCGACGACGCTTGGCGTGTTCAGTTCCCTCAGGCCACTGAGCTGCCCCGCTGGCTTGATCTCCTGAAGAAGGGGATTGATATCTATGCTCTAGACTTTGATGCTATTCTATCTGCCATGTATGTGCTGTCTACTAGTGGAGAGGGTGCTGAGTACTTGTGTGTGCCGCCCGACCCGGGCATTAGGGCCAGTGCGTCTGCCGCTCCAGGTACTCACGTGTCGGCTACCCCAGGTGCTGGTGAGGCTGCTGCTCTAGGTGCTCGTGTGTCTCCCCCCCTTGGTACTGCGTCGACTGCCGCACTGCACACCTTCACACTGGACTCAGGTGCTTCTCGCTGCTTCTTTCGTGACCGCACTGCCCTTGAGCCGCTTGCTCGACCAGTTGCTGTCTCCCTTGCTGACCCCTCTGGGGGTCCGGTCATTGCGACCTCTTCCACTGTCCTTCCCTGCCCTGCGGTCCCGTCGGGCACACTGTCAGGTCTCCACCTCCCCTCGTTCTCTACGAACTTGGTGGCAGGCTGTGCACTCCAGGACGGGGGTGTTCACCAGTTCACCCCTGCCTACGAGCGCGTGACACACTGCACGTGTGCTCGTACGGGCCGTCACTTGGCTACCTTCACTCGGCAGCCGGGGTCGGACCTGTACACACTGACTACTGAGTCCCCTCAGGTTGCTGCGACTGCGTCCGCGTCCGCGTCAGGTCAGCTGTCCGCCCCCTGCTCGTGTCGCTCTTTGGCACACGAGACTGTCCTCTGGCACCACCGCCTTGGCCACCCGTCTGTGCAGCGGCTTCGTGCCATGCACTCCAG